GTAATCTGCCATTAACAAAACATTGTAATATAATATCTTATTTCAGTTAATGCATCTTGATTACGATTAATATCAGGATCAACGTTTTCAGTTCCTTTGAGTTCCGAATCGGCATTTTTTTCGCGCTTTAGTTCCTTTCAGTTCCGCAAAAAGTTGAACTTGGGCAACTGAAAGGAACTAAACTCAACTCAACTTAACTTGACTCATGTCGACAAATATGCGCGACTGTCAGTTCCTTTCAGTTGCGGTCAGTTGCGTTCAGTTGCGTTCAGTTCCGGTCAGTTCCTTTCAGTTGCGCGGAGCGCTCATGTCGACGAGTTGAGTTGAGTTGAGTTGAGTTGAGTTGAGTTGAGTTCCGTGTCGACCTGAGCCTGCCTTAAGAAAAACAAATATCCCCCAAAAATAAACCCTGGATTTGTAGAGCTTCCGGAGATCGCCCTTTGAATAATATACTGGATTTAGACACATTTTATCAGCCTATGCCGCCATCATCATATTAATTATTTTGCATAATATATATATAGACTCGTGGGCATAGGATTCATCAATAATGTTATATTATTAATATTATTAGGTAGCCTGTTTTTTTTTCCTAACCTGATGTGTTTTTCAAAAACATGTGAGAAAAAAAAAATGATTCGGGTGGGAATTGACGGGTAATAATAATAACGGGTACTTCGCAACATTCTAATCAGGAAACCACAATAAATCGTTTCAGTATTCCAGCAGCTTTATTCTACATCAGAATTCACTATTGTACAATATCATCCTGATAATAAATTAGTTCGACTTTGAACATTCCAATAATTATTTATAAAATTCGTCTATAAAAGTACACTTTATTTATTTTGTCGACGGTATAAAAGGAACGGAGAGAATGCTAGCTCAGGCGGGAATCATGTGGGTGATGGACTTGTTCTGCTCTAATTGTTTCTCCATCTTGATGAGACAGTCAACGCCATCGATAACGGTTTGAACAAGCTCCACCTACAAAATGTGAAAATAAAACAAATATGATTAAATATTAATAATATGTGAAAGCAATCAAAAGCGGCAACAACAAGCAACAGCAATAACACCACCAACTGTTAATAGGCATAATAATAATAATAATAATAATAATAATAATAATAATAATAATAATAATAATAATAATAATAATAATAATAATACTGTAATAATAGAAGCAATAATAATAATAATAATAATAATGGATGATGATGCCGATGATGATGAAAATAATAATAATGATAATTATTATTATTACAAAGCTTAAAAATATAACTATTTCACCGTAGTGTTCTGGGTATTTGTATCTCGCCTTGTACTTAATATCTATTTCTGTGTATTATCTGCATTCTTCATATAATTGGCTCTGTTTAGTTTTTGCCTTTTTTTATTCTAAGAAAACAATAGCAAAACGCCGCGCAAACCTCTGATCTTCCGAGACGATCTAGATTGGAGATGTCGAATGTGCCGTCGGTAGAGGCGGTGTCAACACCTCCAGTGCCACGTTTCTGTAGGCGGAGTTTCTTCAAGATGGCGTCAAATCTCTTATCCTGGTAATTTAAATTATATAATTGAAACACAGCTATACATGAAATTTTAAAATTGAACTTGCCATATGATTCTAATAAATGGCTATACCATAGGGGGCGCTACAGATGAAACACTTCTACCGACACCAACAATAAAAATGAACAACATCACAAAACACAGCATCTAAAAACTAAATTACAATCAATATCGAAAAATAATAACAAAACTACAAATAAAAACCCTGTATCCTGACAAAGCCTAAATTAATGTAAACGTCCTCTATTTTACAGCACTCCACTATATACAAACGACTGCAAAGAAAGGTACAAAAAAAATTGTATTGTACACTCAAATTGCAGCGCTCTCTCAAATAGGCGCATTGAGACATTACATGCTGCTGAATGCATTCGAGTCGGAGTGGACACGCGAGCGACAACCTACACTATATTGCAGGGGTCCAGATACAATCCCTTATAGAATCTTCAGAGTTTTAGCCATTTTAATCTATTATTATTATATAAATGTTTTCAGACCTGGGGTTAGAGATTCTTCGACTCTGCTGGGGAAGCGAGTGGCAATCGAGGGCCAGAGATCCAAGTGGAAAAACACCAAGTAGGGACAATTGAGGGTCCCTTTCAAAACCCCTGTTTTATGTAAAGCAGGAGAACTAATGACGTTAAAACAAAAGTGTGACCATAAATTCTACTAGTGCGCCTTCATAGTATACGATTGCCAGAATCATGCTTACCTTGCAAACGTTCGGCAGCTTTATGTGAACACCTGCGCGTAATCCTGTTCCGAGGTTCGATGGACACGTAAGAATGTATCCCAAATGCTGATTCCACATGAAATCACTGCCCTGCTCTTTCACCTTCTTTTCAACCTGAAACACCAAAAATTACCATTTGGAAATAATTTTGATAAGATTTTAACGGTAAATTCTCATCTGCTGAAATGAATACAATTGTTTTAAACGGTTCTCGTCCGTGGCGTGTTTGGCATAATTTTAAGTATTTTATAAATTATAAATGCCAACTGTTGATTGGCTCTACTGTGGCTCGTAGAGGATTAGCAGGCGTGTGAAGGCGTGACAATGTGCATATGACTTCATGTGTATTATGTTATTGGTGTACGCATCTTTTAGAAACTTCTTTACAAACTCATGTAGCAACTATACTCTTTGCTCTTACTCAAGCGTGAGCTTAACATCCCCAGCTCTATACCGTCTCCATTGGTTACTGCGAATAAATTCAAGATCTTGTTATTTGTATTAAGTCCATAATTCTTCTTCTCACTATATCCGCAATTTAATTTGATTGCGCTCGGCTGCTGGCACTTGCAAGTCAGAGGTAAGGTCTACAATCTTCCATATTAACTGTCCCATTGGTCACCTTTAAAGTTGTGGAGAGCGTTCTTTCTCTGTAGGTTCCAAAGTTGCTTTGGTATCAAAACTGTGCATCATCCTTGCCTGTCTTCAAGTCTCGGATTAAACCCATCTTTTCACATTATTTTTATTTCTGATCTTTAAGCTGTTATTTATGTTTTCTTATTCTTCCTGAATTTTTCTTGTACTTAGACTGCGGTTTTCTGCACATATAGACGCGACGACATATTGTATACACTTAAAGTCGGGCACTCACTAGTATGACGGTCGTACGGTCAAACTCTGCTTCCGCCGTCTATTGATTGTCGGTACCGTGGCAATCTGAACGGATTGTAATTAAAAACGATCCGCTCGTGGTGGCTTCGCATTCTACATAGCATAGTTACTAACCTGAGGAATTTGAAATGCGTGACTACACCAGTTGGCTAGGGGCAACCGGGGTTCCACCCATTGCGGGGCGAAGGCTCCCTGGCGCTTTAACGATTTCAGAATTTTTGAGTTGTTTTCAAAACAATTTCAGGGAGTGTTTGTTGTCAATACCGGGTACATAAACATAAATATTTTAATAAAGCCACGAACAATTTTAGTTGTTTCCTCCTTAACTGCGTGACATATTTATGGTTACGAATGTGTTTCTGCAAAATGCATTTTTTTAAAAATAAAAAATCGCTATAAAATGCGGGACGGTCCCGCGCTATGCGAGACGGGTGGTAACTATGCCATAGAATATGGTTAGCCATCAGGGCCATAATGAAAACGCCGTTATCTTTTTTCTAACGCCGTCACGTTGTTCAATTTCAACCAATCACAAGCTTGAACCGCGCCAAAAGGGCCATGATAAAAGCGCCGTTTAGTTTTATTTTAACACCGTTACGTTGTTCAATATTGTTATAGGTTGGCCGAAAGGGCCATAATGAAAACACCGTTACATTAGTACATTAGTGCCCGGCCTAAATTACATTACCACGTAGACCTACCAATTGCAACCCTCGACAGAATCGTTCGAACACTGACCGAATGTTTCCACCTTTTTCCATAGAGATCACACGCGTATGATCTTCTTCGTTGATCCAAACGAGGAAGTTTTTATTGAAGTTGTGCCTGGTCAAAGAAGGAGTGATGAAATGTAAGATCATGAATAATCAACAACAGAATTTTACTTATATAAATAAATTGAACACTCCAACTGTCCGAAAAATAGAACCACTATGTTCTTTAAAATATCAGCAAGGATTTACCAGATTCCACGAGCATCTGGCCAGTCACGTGCCATTCCAGCTGACGTAAGCAAAGGCGATACAGGTTTATCAAATAGAAAATGATCGTCGATCAGTTGTTGCTGCTCGCTCTCAGTCATGCCTTTCAGAGGATAATATTTGCCTTTCAGGTCGCCCTGCAGACTTCCAAGAGCGTTGATGACAATCTATATAAAAAAAATAGTCTAAAAACTAACAGGTGGTATGTGAAACATGCCTAAATTAATGTTATTCTGTTCAAAAATACAAACGAACCCATCTCAGTTCATGTGTTAAGTACCGTAATTTATGTATAATATAGGAATTTAAAGCGCATTTTACCTGGAATGCAAGGTACTTATAACTGGAATAAACAAACTCCTTGCGCAATCCGTTTTTGTATTGTGTCGACGGGGGTGAATCTAGAGATGTCCGAAAATACAATATGGGCCAAAAGGGGTTGGGGTGATCGAGAGACAATTCACAACCACTACCTGGGGTCGTCGGGGCATGTCGAGCGAAATCTTGGTTATAAAACTCCCAGAAATAACTTTGAGCGACCAGTAATTTCTCTTTCTTTCTTTCCTGGTAGATATGCTCAAATCAAACAGCCTTATGAATTCTAAAATCAAAATCACTTTATGAGTACAGGAACTGCTGATAATCCCACCGCGTTTAACTTTAGCAGCCGTTCTTACCTTTTCAACTTCGCGACGTTCTGCTCGGTTGCATTTCGTTGGCAACGCAAATCCGCGTATGCTACGACCGGTGCGCACTCGCGATGACAACACGTACTTTGGATCAAATATTCCTCCACGAATCTTTCTGTAGTCCAGGTCGGTGGTATGAAAATCATCAACATCATACCCGTTGTGTCGGTCCTTTATTACAGGGTCGAATATCTCTGCGAAAACCTATGTAAAAAGTCAATGTATAATCTATTGTATAATTTTTGAATAATATTAGGCAAAGAGTGGCATAACCGAGGCCGAATCATACTCATAAACACATTTTTTTAGGTGTCTTAACGTGCCTAAAATGTTATCAATTTGGGTTTGTTTTACTAAGAATAGGTATGGCCTAGCGAAAATCAAGTGGAATAAATTATGGAATTATTCTTGATAGGGCAAGGGACTAATGTTTATTATGAGATATAGATAGGCCTATAATAATAATAATAATAATAATAATAATAATAATAAATATTATTATTATTATTATTACTGTATTATTATTATTATTATTATTATTATTATTATTATTATTATCATCATCATCATTATCATCATCATTACTAAAATTACAATTAGGCCTATCATTATCGTTATCTTCATTATCATGATCACCATCGCCATCATCACCAAAACACGAGACAGACCACATTTCAGTACAATCATTGAATATCTGTGTGTAGTTCAATCTGTCACACATTTATATATTTTTCGTATTTATATATATATATTTTTTCGTATGTTATTGTCCGTGTTCTTGTGTATTATTAAATTAATTTAGGTGTTTGTGCTTTTGTATTGAATATTTTCAGTGGCGAATCAAGGAATTTGAAATAGAGGGGCCCAAAGAAGGACTTTTTCAGCAGGAGGGTATACTACCTCGGCCCAACATGGTTGGGGCTGAGGTAAGAAATTTTATCACTAAGCACATCTAAATGGCAGGAAATGGCACTCTTTACCTTAGACTCAATATTTTAGTAGAATTTTCTCTTTTCCTAATTTTTATTATTATTTTTTTAATTTTGAAAAATTTAGGGGGACCGGACCGGCTGGCTGTAGTGCCGGCCAGCTGGCAAGTGTAGTGCCGGCCAGCTGGCAGTCACCTGATCAATAGACTCTGGTGGTCACATGATCCAATGTGTAAGGGCGGTCATGACCTATGACGTTGCGCCCCGGGATGACGTCATCGTCCCAACGAGAGGTTGGAGGGTGAAGCGTCACTTGAGATTGAGCGATAGCCTTTACAACACATACCATACTACGATTATACATTATAGTGAACTTTCACCTGGACCGCAACCCAGAAGTGATTTAGGTGAGTTATGCTATCATATAGATCTTAAGTCATCTGTAGTAATAAGTATAACACGATTTACTATAATGGCGACGAGGATTAAAAGGTACTTTTTAGGTACCCTGGTGGTGTGCAGGACCACGTACGTATGGTGTATCCAACGTAGCGTCCAGCAGCTAGCGAGGCATAGCCCGCAGCATCAACTACCTACCAAGGCCAATTAATTACTCGTTAACTGCCATCACCTTGAATTGGAGAACCGAGAAAGTACTGTGTGTCACTCTACTTATTCTGTTTTCTGAAGCAGGGTGTTCGTAATGTTTTCTACGTCAGAATATTCGAATATTCGAGTATTATTTTTAGTTAGGTCTGTCTTGGAAACGGGATCGAATGTTGTTCGTTGTTCTGTTCGGTTTCCGCCGAGCATTATGATTTATCTGACCCTGTCTTGGAAACGGGGGTCAGTATACTTCATGTAGTTTTATGTAGCGTCATGTTTTGGTTTAGTTAGACCCTGTCTTGGAAACGGGGGTCGTTTTATTCTTTTTGGTAATTCTGTCTTGGAAACGGGAATTGCCATTATGTCTAGATATATATTTACTTTAGTGTTGGGTCGAGAGTACGCTCCGATTCAGTACGTATTTTAAGTTTTTATTGGCTTATTGTGCCATGGATTTTTAGACTGTTATTACCGACAGTTCTACGGTTGTCGTTTAGGTTACTTTATCGCTAGATATAGGATTAACATAGACAGTTGTTGATTGTGTAGAATTAATTTTCGCCCTACATTGTGGGACGTCTCTTGCTCAACCATTATCAATTTTGGTTGACTCGAATTTCAACAACGCCGCAGTTTTGAGCGGTGAACATATTCCACTTTCAACCAATCACAGACAGGCATTGTTGATCTCGTCTGTGTTCGCCAGCCAA